GGTAACAGGGTACACAGTATGCATCAGTCAGGGTTCTCCAGAGAAAGAGAAATCAGGGTGTGTGTTTGTGTGTGTAAGAGATTTATTCGAAGGAAATGGTTCATGTGATTGGGGCTGGTGAGCTGGGAATCTATACAGCAAGCCAGAGGACTAGGAACTCCAGCAGGAGCTTGTGCTACAGACTTGAAGCAGAATTGTTTCACCATCAGGAGACCTGGTTTTGCTCGTAAGGCCCACCAGCATCAAGGAGGGTTAACTTCTTTATTTAAAGCCAGCAGACGGTAGATGTGCGGCACTTCTACAAAATATCTACACAGCAAAATCTAGTATCTAGTCCTAGTGCCTGTCTAAGCTGACACAAAGCTAATCCTCACCTGGTAAGAGGAAGGATGCTGGGGAGGTCTCAGTGGCTAGGAGACCAGGGAAAGAGGATGAGTCAGAGTCTGAGAGGGAAGAGATCTGAAGAAGCCATATGCCTATGAGGAAAGGTTTCTGTGGGGTGGGGGAGTGGACCACAGTGGGTAGAGAAGGACATGGGAGACCAGATCCTGGGGACTTAGGCAGCTCTCTCAAGGTATTTGAAAATGAAGGGGACCAGGGCATTGGTGGCTCATACCTGTAATCCTAGATATCCATCAGGAGGCAGAGATCAGGAGGATCATGGTTTGAAGCCATCCCCAAGCAAGTACTTCAGGAGATCCTATCTTGAAAAAACTGACCACAAAAAAAAAGGGCTAGTGGAGTTGTTCAAATGGTAGACTCTTACCTAGCAAGCGTGAGACCCGGAGTTCAGACCCCAGTGACACCAAAAAAAAAAAAAAAAAAAAAAAGAATGTTACACTAAGGAGGATTGTTTTTTTTGGGTTCTACTTTTTGTAGGAAGGAGGCAGTTGAGAAAGAGATGGAGTGAAGAGAACAGGGAGGGGCTAGTGGTATGATTTCTCTTTGGGCTAGAGAAGGAGACACTTCCTCAGCAACCTGACTATGGAGAAAAATGCAGCCTCCATGAGTCTTGCCAATCCACCAGGGCAGAGCTCTGGTTAGAGCAGGCAAAGACAGCAAAGGAGTATTCCAGAAACTTGTAGAAGGGATGCTGTTTTCAGTCCCCTCTGCACACCTCTCAGGCCAGTTTCCAATTGTACCATGTGCCAGGACCTGTGGCTGCCTCCCCTCCCACTGGGTGCAGGGCTGGCACCATGGCTGGCTTCTGCTGCTTCTCCTATGGCCCTGTCCCCTCCTCACCCTGCTCTGTATCTTCCCCTAGGGCTCAGCAGCTCTTCATCCCCACTGTTCCTACTGCAGGGCACTAGACAACGGCTTAGAGGACCAGGAAGGCGGGGACATGCCCAAGCACAGACACACATACCTGGAGAGATTTAATTTTTAACTTTTTAAAAGACAACAAAGTACAACCAAAGTACAATCCACACTTCTACTGTGAATTGCTATTGTTTTCATTTTGAATTACATCTCTAGAGAGCCACCACAGTTTTTTTCATGCCTAGGGCCTCCCAGGGCTAAATCCAGCCCTGCTCTCACCCCTCCAGTTCAGAGCGGGAAGATGCGGCAACCCAGACTGAGAGGCAAGGAGAGCGGCTCAGGAAGAACACGCAGAATCACAAAGGGTTTGTGCATCTGTTGGAGCTTTCTCGTGCTGCCTGAAAGTACAAAACATGCTGGAACACAGAACGAAAGGTATTTGCCCAAGTGACTAAGACATGTTCCAGCATTTTCTTTCCTACAGGCTCCTGCACATCCCAAAATAACTGCAGCCTTGGATCGTGGCCGTTGGCATATGATTACATTTGTATAATGTTACAAACAGCAGGCAGACAGGCCACACTCGCACAGGGAGGCTTTGCAGGATTTCACAGCCCACAGTGGTGTTCCAGACTAGCCTTCTGGGCTAGGCCAGAAGGAAGACAAAGGACACAGACCACAGAACCCCCTATAACAGTCAGACCAAGAAGAAATGTCCACCTTTCACAGATGGTAGGGGAGAAACACGGAGAGAAGAGACAGTTTGCTTACTCCAAATTACATATCGGGAGATTACAAAAAGTTTGTGGGAGAGCTAGCACTAATCCCACCCCCCTTCCATCTCCTGATGATGGGATTTACTTCTGAAGAAGTATCTATTAGCCTTGGAACTATAGGATTTAAGTCAAAGGGACTTTGACACACACAGAATGCTGAGTATCTGACCCAGCGCCTAGTGCATGCTAAGCAGGGGTTCTACCACTGAAAGAGACTTTCAAGAGCCCCCTGGCCGTCTGTGGTACCTACGCACCCAAGTCTGGACAGCACTGTGAGAATAAGGAGGTGTCAGGATGGCCCTTGCCAAGAATGTGATGAAAGATGCTTAAACAACATGAAAATAATCACACACTGACAAATAGGCCAGAGACGGCGTGAGGAGTTTGGGGAGAGGGAAGTCTGAGAAGGATTGTGGAGTCCAAATGTGAAAAGATTCCTAACAAGCTGGAGCTCAAGATGGGTAGGATCTGAAAAAGAGGGTAGGGACACAGGCATCATGGGTGGGGATGGACTGGAGGAGAGGGTGGAGGGCATGGAGGTGACCGGAAGAAAGAGGGGTGCCAACAGAAAGCTTGGCAACCACACCCAGGGACGCAGGCTGCATGTGTTGAGGATACACATGGCTCTCAGTGTAGACACTATCACTAACAGATGCTCAGCTTACAGCCAGTTCCATCTCAATAAACCCATCACACGTGGAAACTACTGTAAACTGAGAATGGATTTACCAGTCATGACCTACCAGTCATCCTTACTTAGGGGCACGGTGCACTACAGAGAGTCTTCTCTTTGTTTCCCCTTGTGGTCGCATGGCTGACCACATTGAAGTGTGGCTCATTGCCACGGCCCAGTGTTGCATGCCAGATTTGCACCACACATCACCAGCCCTGGAAAAGATCCAAATTTAAAATTTAAGAATGGTTTTTACTCAATACATATTGCTTTCATACCACAGTAAAGTTGAAAAATCTTGTCAATTGGTTGTAAGTAGATCCATCTGTAGTAGTTGCAAGGCACTTGCTTCATTTGTGAGATGGGAAGGATCCCATAAGACTTGAAATTACATATATATGTTTATATATATATATATATATATAATGACTCTCTGAAGAGGTAAGAGGTTATTCTCAAGTTTCTGTAGCGCTCTGGTACCCTCTTCCTCTTGGGCACCACAGCCTACTTAGTGCTAAAGATTGTGGACTACTGAGGCAAGATTGAAGTGGTCTTTGATGCCTTGTGGACCTGATTCAAATCCTGCCTCTGCTCCTAGCTGTACATGTGACCATGGCACTTCCCATTTCCTTATCTGTTAAATGGGGATGTTAGTAACAGCGACCCTTTTCAGTTTCCAGGCTCATTTCCTCCTAGCTTACAAATATGCAATCCAGGAAAGGGAAGACTCTGTCTTTTGTCATTGTCTCAAAGCTATCACTGTGTAAAGCTGGGATTTCAGTTCCGAGGTTCTGACTCAAACCCATGTTAATTACAATGTTCTCAAAGAGTATTGGAGAGTTAAATAAGCCAAGACCCCCTCACACTTGGTAGATCCTCATTAGGTACTTGCCATCCCAACTTTTCTTTTAGTAAGACTGGGGTTTGAACTCACGGCTTCCCACTTGTAAAGCAGGTGCTCTACAGCTTGAGTCGCACCTCCAGTGTGCTTTCTTCTGGTAATTTTGGAAATAGGGCCTCACAAACTATTTGCCCCAGCTAGCCTTCTCCCAGTCTCAGCCTCCCAAACAGCTAGGATTACAGGTGTGAGCCTCTGGCACCCAGCTTGCCCTCCAACTCTAGTAGGGGCTAAGACAGTTATATTAGTAAGAGCCTAACAGCCAGCTCTATGCTTGGCCCCAATGAAAACCCAGATCAAGTCAGATAACCACCCCAATGGCCATGTTATATCTAACCCGGATGGTTTAAAAGTATTCTAACTATATGAAAGAGCTACCTGCGATGTTTAGTGATAAAAATACTACCAACGTAATTCAGTAACCACTCAAGGAGCCTTAATGTTTAAGGTCCATTGAGAACAGATATGCAGGTCTCCCCCCACCCCCAAGTGGTCACATTCTTTAACTTTGACTCATTTAGAAAAATGGTCCAATAGGTTTCTTTTCTTAATTTACATGTTCAAGTTTCTAGATCCTGTTGGTTTGTCCTCCCCAAATGAGTTCACCCAGGAATGATGTTGGCAGACTCCCATGCAAATGACTTCAACCTTTCTCAGCAAGCTAAGAGTGGCAAATACAGCGATGTGTATTTTTGTGCAGCCTCGTCAGGCACCAAGATTAAGCTCAGTACAGTCATGAGAAACTCAGCTCAGGGCTCACAAGTCAGCACACTCACTGGGAGTTCCAAGGTCTCAGGTCTTTCTCATTTCCACTTCACTTGGCAGTTAAAAAAAAAAATCCCCACATTCTGAGGTTGTAGTCCTTCCCAAGCTTTAAAAATACTAACACAGAAAGAACAATCTTCTAACCCAGTGGCCTCTGAGTACACCTGGCCCCTAACTCCAGCGGCTTCTAGGAAGCCAGTCTGGGAAGAGAAACCTGGTCCCATCTGGCTTGGTGACTCAGAGGTGTCAGATAAAGATGCCCATAGGACTCTCAGAGCACATTTCCAACTGCTGGTGACCTGGACTCCACACAATTCTTTGGTAACAGTGGGAATCAGCTTTCCTGAGCATTTATGAACCATCTCAGCCCATGGTGAGGCCTGAGGGTGGCCCAAGGCCAGATGGATAAAGACGCTGCCAAAAGGGGCACGTTGGCTGTTGGTTGGGGTAGTCGAAGAGTATGGCAGGCACGTTCTAGTACCTGAGTGCACAGTCCTGAGGATTCCCACACTCCAGCTGTGTCTGGGACTGGGAAGTGACCAACATTCATTCTCTCAGGAGCTGGGCTTGTAAAGTGGTTTGCCATTTATTTTGACTAAAGTCAGTGACAATCTTGATGGTGGCAATCTTTTCAACTTTTATAAATCACAGAAAACATCTGGAGTTACATATTATTTTATTTTCCTTTTTTCAAACGTAACATTAAAGTCATCCAACATACAGATATTCCTAGAACTTCTTACATGTCTTATTGTAAAGTTAGATATTTGAACTACGAGATGAAAATCATCCCATTAAAAAGGCAACATTTCTGAAAAATGGGTTTCACTTATGTGATGGGAAATTAACTCCCCATCTACAACCCCCCCCCCAAAAAAAACTTCTTCAGTCCAGAGCTACAGGAAGACAGCTCACAGCCACAGCTAACACATGGTGCCCATGCACAGAAAGGGCCCAAAATAACAAGCAAAAGGGTTAAAATTCTGAAACAAGCAACACTTTTATTTGTACAGAATAAGAATACAGAAGCATCATTTTCCTTTCTGCCCTTTTATTAGTGCTCTGCCTCCACCCAAGTTACTGTGCGTAACAAGCAGCTAGGAATAACAGCAACCAACTGACTTACAGTCCCTGAAATGCATGCAACTTCAAATTCCCTAACGCACACGGTCAGTTCCTAGTCTCTAGTGGAGACTATGGTGCTGCTGCTGGGTTGCCAGCAGAGTCTGTCGTACTGCTGGGATCTGGAGCTGCTGCTTCTTTGGCTTCTGGTTGCTGGGTAGAAGTCTGGGGATCTTCATTCCTGGCACTTTTCTTCTCCTTGTCTGCTGCCATGGCACCCATACCCCCTATGATTTCCTGCAGCGGCTGATCCGTTTCAAGGTTGCTGGGCTGGAGTTCATAGACCTGGACTTGACCTGGGACATCGACAGCTTTCTGCTCAAGTTTTTCCAAGATGGTCTGAACTTTCCTGACACCATCTCTTCTGGCCTGGCGTACATCAGCTCGTCCTTCAGGGTCCACAGAATCCAGGGCCAGCAGCTCTTTGGTCAAATACTCTTCAATCATCAGGTACTTTTTGTCAGTCTTCTTGCCTTCAAAGTTGTCTACAGCCTGCTCCAGCCCTTGTACCTTCTCTAGGATTGCTTCCACTTTCAGTACACCTGGATGTTTTGGGGGGGCCTCAGCCTCTCCTGCTTTTGGGGGTGTAGCTTCTGTAGGAACAGGAATGGGGGCCACCCTCTCTTCTGCAGCCACATTCTTGGGGGAAGAGGGGACAGCAGAAGGTGCAGGGCTGGGAGAAGGACAGGGAATTGGAGCAGGGGGAACCTTTACTTCCACCTTCTCGGAGGGAGGGGGCGGCTTCTGGGGACCAGGTTTAGAATCCGCCTCCTTGCGGATCACCTGGATGGGGATGTGTCCAGGAGGGAGATCTGGCCCAGTGGGGCCTGGCTTACTTTCTGGTTTGTTTTCAGGTTGGGTGACAGGTGGAGGCTCTCGATGGGTCATGGGCTGCTGAGAAAAAAAGCAAAAAAAGATATAAAGAAAATTTTAATAACTGGCTAAAGTCACAGGCTAGTACCAATTAGAAAGAAAACTGGGAATTTTTTTTTTAAAGATTTTCAGTCAACAAATAGCCAAAATAAAAACATCATATTAATCACATATGTGACCAAACCGCTTGTTAAGTTTCCATTCATCACTCTGGGCTACTTGTTCCTCAACCTGAATTTCTCTATACGTGGTATCCTTTTTTGGTTTTGTTTATTTGTTTTTTGGTGGCACTGGGGTTTTGTTTTTTTTTTTTTAATTTGCATTTCTTTAATAGTGAATTTGAACATGTGTTCACCATTTCTGATTCAGCTATGTGATTCCTTATATCCCTCGTTCCTTAATCATACCAGGTTAAAGTATCATCTTTTTTTTTTCTTTTCATTTTTCTTTTATTATTCATATGTGCATACAAGGCTTGGGTCATTTCTCCCCCCTGCCCCCACCCCCTCCCTTACCACCCACTCCGCCCCCTCCCGCTCCCCCACCCCTCAATACCCAGCAGAAACTATTTTGCCCTTATTTCTAATTTTGTTGTAGAGAGAGTATAAGCAATAATAAGAAGGAACAAGGGTTTTTGCTGGTTGAGATAAGGATAGCTATACAGGGCATTGACTCACATTGATTTCCTGTGCGTGAGTGTTACCTTCTAGGTTAATTCTTTTTGATCTAACCTTTTCTCGAGTACCTGTTCCCCTTTTCCTATTGGCGTCAGTTGCTTTAAGGTATCTGCTTTAGTTTCTCTGCGTTAAGGGCAACAAATGCTAGCTAGTTTTTTAGGTGTCTTACCTATCCTCACCCCTCCCTTGTGTGCTCTCGCTTTTATCATGTGCTCATAGTCCAATCCCCTTGTTGTGTTTGCCCTTGATCTAATGTCCACATATGAGGGAGAACATACGATTTTTGGTCTTTTGAGCCAGGCTAACCTCACTCAGAATGATCTCCAATTCCATCCATTTACCAGCGAATGATAACATTTCGTTCTTCTTCATGGCTGCATAGAATTCCATTGTGTATAGATACCACATTTTCTTAATCCATTCATCAGTGGTGGGGCATCTTGGCTGTTTCCATAACTTGGCTATTGTGAATAGGCACTGGGGTTTTGAACTCAGGGACTACTTGAGCCATGCCTCCAGACCTTTTTGCTTTAGTTATTTTCCAGATAGAATCTCACACCTTTTGCCTGGGCTGGCCTGGACCTATGCCTATGACTCCTGTGTAGCTGGGATTATAGCCATGCAGCACCACAACTAGGCTTGTAAATGGTATTCTTGGGGAAAAGAAAGTCAGTATAATTTTCAAAAATGAAAATAGCAAAAAACTCATGCTGGCTGCTGGAGTGAGGTCTGCTCTGAGCAGTGTCCTGAGTGATTGTGACTCAGCATGCAGCCAAAGTCGGTGCCTTGGGCTCCCCATTCTCGCTGTGCACAGTCCCCACTCATGAGTGACCTTCTCATCTCCAATTTCAGAAAAAAATGAACTTTTTAAAACTTGTGATAACCTAGAGGTTTCTGCCCAGACTGAGGTATGTTTTGAAAATAAGCCATGATGCAGCACCTCCATGCTGACTTCACACTGTGCAGACTGTCATGTGACCGGAGGCCATGGTCATATTTTTAAAAATGAGCTATGCTCAAAGCAAGTACTGTAGCTGAGAACGTCTAACATGTAAAAGAATGTCTAAAATCGAAAACTCTCACATGCCTCAGGTTCTTCAACTGGGAAATAAGTGTTGGACTATATGATTTCTAATGTACTCCTAAGTAAAATTATTAATTCTACTTTAATGCTCAGTTAAATCGAATCCTCAAATGCCTCCAAAAATGGCACTTTGAACAAGCTATAAAAGGGAGCTTCCTATGATCATGTTTAATAGAGGTGAAAATAGTATTAAATATTGCTTTACCAATTTAGTGGGAAAGGCAAGTGGAATATCGCTCTACAAATGTGCCCTTTTCTTCTAAGGATTACTGAATCCAAGTGTGGGTCTGGTGTGTCACAGGTGCCTAAACTTACCTGCAACCTCCTTTGCCACGAATCCCCTTTGCCAAATTTACCACTCGTCAACCCACCATATGTCCCTCTCTGGGTTTTAAAAGCAACTGAAGGCTATGTAAGGAAAAGTGGCTCTAGGATTGGATGCCCCACAGCCTGTGCACTTCAAAAATGAAAAGGTTGGTCAGGTACAGTGGCTCACATCTGTAATCCCTGCTACTCAGGAGGTGAGAATCAGGAGGATTTCAGTTCAAGGACAGCTCAGACAAAAAGTTAGTGAGGCTCAATCTTGATAAATAAACTGGACTGGGTGCCAGTGCCTCATACCTGTAATCTTAGCTACGTACGGAAGTTCAAAACCAGTCTGGGAAAATAGCTCTCAGGACACTATTTCAAAAATACCCAACACAAAAAAGGGCTGGTAGAATGGCTCAAGTGGTAAAGCACCCACCTATGAGGCCCAGAGTTCAAACCTCAGTACCACCAAAATAAAAAAAAATTCATTCATTAATAAAATAAAATAAATAAGCTAGGCACAGTGGCATGTGCCTGTGATTCCAACTACTCAGGAGGCTGCAGGTAGGAGAATCAGTTGAGGCAAAAACTCAAGACCCTAAAAGCAAAACACGGCTGGGGGCATGGTTCAAGTGGTATGGTACCTGCCTAGCAATCTTGAGGCCCAGGTTCAATCTACTGCCAAAAAAGAGAGAAAAAGTCAAGGTCACAAAAGCACTGAAAGGCGGAGAAACTATTCCAGAGACTAAAGAGAAGTGACATCTGAAGGTAGGGCGTGTGGTCCTGGATCAGACCCTGAGCCAGGGAACACTGCTGTGAAGGAGATTTGAAAATGGGTGGTGTACACTGGAAAATACCATTGTAACAACAGTGAATTTCCTGAATCTGGTGGTTCTACTGTGCTGGTGGATGGACAGCCATGTTGATGGGGTTGTGGAAGGCCTGAAAGAGTGGCAGGCACTAAGGAACTTGGCCCTGGGTGTGAGAGTGATGGCACTGAGCTCTGCCAAGCTGTCCCCTCTGCCCTTAGGGCAGCTGCAATGGAGAACAATCAGCTGAGCAAAAGCTTCATAAAGTGCTGAGTCTCCCAGCCATAGCCCTGCATTTCTGTGGAGAACCAGCAATTTCCAGAACCTCCAGTTCCATCTACGCTAACTAGACAGGGCTGACAGGGGAACCCAGGACACCTGTGGAGCTCCTCAGCCCCTAGAGAGACACAGCAGTCTGTGACAACCCATTTCCCATACCTGAGGCCTGTCAACCACGGTGTGCACACGGATGGGTGACGGGGAGTGCACTGGTGTGCCACTTCTGGCTGGTGAGCCTTCCCGGCTGGATGTACCCCGGACTGGTGACCTGAATGGGGATGCTGCCCGCAGAGGCCGGGGCTCCCACTCATCTCCCTGGATCTTGTGGTACACAGGCTGGTGAGTCTGGTATTCACCCTGTGGAGCTGGGTAGTGGGTCTTCTGGGCTTGGTGGAAGGAAGGCTGGGCTGCTGGCCGGGTGACATTCTGCTCATGTATCACTGGGATTGGGATGTAGCCCCGGGGGAGCTGGTGACTTCCTAAGCTGCTCCTGCCGGAAGAGGGCAGGCTGGTGGAGGAGGATGAGGATGAGCAGTCAGAGGCAGCAGGAGACTGGGACCGCTGCAAGAGACAAAGAGTAGATGGCACCATGCCCTGAATCTCCGCACTTGCCCTGGCTTTCGAGCCTTTCACTGGACACCTGCTCAGGGCAATACTTTTCCAAGGCCTCCCCCTGGAGACATTGCCATTTTCAAAATGTGGGATTAGGGGTGGGGGTAATATCTCGGGGCAGAGCAGGTACCTAGCATGTGTGAGGCATTGGGTTCAATCCCCAGCATCAAAAAAAAAAGTAGTGTTAAGACTGAGAACTCTGGAATAAAGAGGCCTGGGTTAGATTTTCAGTAGCTCAGTGGCACTCTGAGCCTCATGGAAGCACAGGAAGAGCGCCCCACCCTCACTGGGTGAAGCATGTGCTTCAGCACCACGCGGCATGCACAGGAAGTGCCCGGTCCACTGTGTCTGTTCCTACTAAATGTCTTCTCATTTCCTCTCTCTTAACCCTTTCACTCCAAATCCACAGAGAATGCAGTTGAGTATCCGGGAGCTGTGTGGCCCCTGTGTCCCTTCCGTTCATCTAGAAAATGAGGAGGCCCTTGCCCCAGTGAGCTCGTCATCTTAAATTTGCTAAGATTTTTCTGGTTGACATGTTTAATTTTTACAGCAAAAACATTACAAATGTAAGTACTGCATCTCCAAGCGAGGAAAGAAGCCTCAGTATCCCACATAAACTACTTTTCACACCCAAGAAGGTGGGAGAGCTGAACAGAGCTAAAAAGCAATTGAGATTTTGGTGCAGGCAGGAAAATGAGGGCTCCCTGCTCAGAAATCCTAGCCAGCCCACCAACCCACAGCTCTCAGCCGAGACACAGATGAGCAACTGTTCGTCAGCACTCTTCAGTGCTGAGGTTCCGGGCTGAAACCCTGTCCTAAAGGCTGCTGCCTTGGTGACTTACTCTGGGTGTCCCTTCAAATGGTGGGACACTCTGAAGGCAGGGATGCAGTCCTGTTTTCATTACCAACATAGCTCGCTGCACAGTTGATATTTATCCACGAGGACTGAATGGAACCAAATAACACATAGCCGTCTCTGACAGAGAGCACGCTGAGAGTAAGGAATGCTGGAATCCAGAGCCAGGAGGCCAGGCTTCCATTCGTAGCACTGCTACTCCAACCTTTCTGCAGCAGCACCGCACAGCTCATACTTTACACTCTTGGCCCCCCTTCCTTAACTCCTGCCCTGGCCACCTGGAAAAAATTCCTCTGAAACACGGTGGAGCTGTCAACTGGAAGGGTCCCTCTGATGCTGCAGACCAGGTCCTGGAACCTTGCATGTCACCAGACACCTAGCCTAGGATGAGCCAGGCCTCTCCTTACCTCAGGTCCATGGGAGGCTGGGGGCTGAGCTGCTGCAGTTGCTGTCACCTGTCCACACTGTTTATCTGGCTGGGTGGCTTCTGCCATGCTGCGCAGAGGTGACTGGGATCTCTGAGGGGCAGCCGCTGCCGCCTCTGTTCGGAATCGCTGTGCCCCAGGCTGGGGATAGGTGTGGAAATGATGCAGCTGCCGGTTCTCAGAGCCTTCATGGAGGACGGGAATGGGAATGTAGCCTGGTCGCAGCTGGGGGTACACCGGGTAGCCTTCCCTAATGGGCAGCAGCCTGGAGCCCTCCCTGGAGGGGCCATTGGCAGAGGATGGAGTTTCCTAAAATAAAAAGAGGAGAAACACAGACTGATTAGAAACTAAAGAGAAAATAGTATGGTGGAAATCGTTTTGCTCTTCAGGGTGACTGGGGCGTCATACTTACCCAGGATGGTTGTTCATGGGCCCCACCACCCCTGCTTCTGCCAAACACCATCTCTCCTACAGAGCCTGCTGTGTGGTTTAAGACTTAGGAGATCAGGAGAAAGCAGGGGAGCCAAGATATTTTTGAGCACAAGAGATCCCAATTTCCCAAACTGGCAAGACAGGTTTCAGCAGGTATGAGAGAGAGCTTCTAACTGTTCCCCAATCTTCAGAGACCCAGAACAGGTGATCTCTCAGGCAGAGAATTCAATTCCAACTACTTCTCTGCTTCCAAATAGGCCCTCCACCCATACAGAGTTTGTATTGGACCCATACACAGAACCCAGTTTAGAAATCTTTCTACAAGGGCTGCTTCCTTGGGGGGCTATTTTTAGAACAAGCTGCATGAAAGGGAAATACACAGGAATGAAGAAGCAGTGCAGAAACGGAACAAACTCCAGGGATTAATTGTGCTAGTCTTACAAGACCAACTAACAAGAATCTTTGCCTGGCCAAACTTAAGTCAGGCTACTGAAATTTCTCCTAGGCCCATCAGTGTGCTTCCTTGTAAACTCCAGTTTTAGCAAAAGAACTGCTAATTAGGTTAGCCAGTACCCTGTTCTCTGTATCTGATCACCCGGGATATATGATCAGGCTGCTGGTGTTCACCTCCACCCTCAGGTGAGGTCTGATGTCCCTGGCTTATCTTCACCAAGAGTCCAGTCAGGTCAGGTTAGCCAGAACCCCCCTTGCCCTTGCTTGAGTATGTTTCTATCCACAGACCCCCACTCTGCTGCTTGGCTATAAATTCCTCTCGCCCATGCTGCCCATGGAGTTGAGCCCCATCTGTCTTCCCCAGTGCAGGACTTACTGTGCTGCTCCCTACACCTGTCACCGTGGTCCCAAATAGTCTTTCTTGCCATGCATGCTTTAACATGTACCACACAATAATTTTTCTAGGGCAAGGAGAAATGGTTAGGGTCTTTCTCTTAAATCCTCTCATGAAATTCCCTCTTCAGTAGCCTAGCTATTTTGGGACCCTAGAGAAGGCCAAGTTCCAGATGTACCACAAGGAAAGATCTTATTTCAGACAACAAGGCCAGCCAGCTATCCACTGGGCAGTGCCATCTCTTACCAACCAGGGGCCGCACAACTCCCAACCATCTCCAGAGGGTCCTTCTACAGAGGAGGGGAGCTACTGCTGTGTTTCACTTGGACATACCTGAGTGGGTCAGTATTAGGATAAGCCTTCCTTAGGGAGGTATCTCTGAATGGCAAACAAATGCCAATGACTGAGAAATGATGAGCTTGCAGGGTATAACTCCTACTGCTGCATAACTGCTCAAAAGGAAGGACAGACACTAATTTGCATTTTGAGTAAAAAGACCATTAATTCTGCCATGTTTCTATTTATGTATAGGCCTGGGCACCAGATGACTGGCCCTGGAATTTAGCCCTTTCGGGCCCATCCACTGCCTCCTTCCTGAGACCTTGCCCTGGGAGGGCCTCCAAAACAGGAAAGGCAAGGGTGTCACTGTGTCCTTGGGGACATGGGCAGCCAGGCACTTGGCACTCTCAGATTAGAATACCCACGTGCTCAGGGCAGTGGCATTATTTTAGCCTGCTTAACTCTCAGGTCACCCAAGAGAAGGGAGCAGATCCAGGCCTCACATTCAGAGCCCAGTTCTTACTGTGAGATGGGCACTCAGGGAGTGACCAAGAATTGCCAAAGAAACCTCTGCTCAGTGTTGAGTCATAACAAGCTGTCTGGGCAACAGGTCCAGTAAGTGGGCAGGCATCTTTCCTACAGCTGAAAGGAGGGCCTGCATAAGTCCTGGGATATCACCTTTAGGGCTCAATGTTTTTCCAGCCATGTGCAAAGTCTCAGCCACTGCACACTCCTGAGGGCCCAGCAGTTAGCAAGCCTGAGCGCCTTCCTCCCTGCTCCAGTGAAAGAACTTTCAGCACTGCTCTGATGGGCCCAAGGGGTCATCAAACCAACAAGGTGTGACCTCTGCAAAGAAGGGTCTTATAAGACAGATTAAGGGTACATGAAATGAATGAGGCAAATTTACTTGGAAAGCAGGTGACGCTGACAGGGCCCTTCCAGGATGGGGCTGGCCCAGATAGGATCCGAGTTCATTCTTGTCTCTGTTAGTGACATTCCCTGACCTTGGATAAGCCTCGTACCTCTGTAAGCCTTCATTTCCTTTTCTAGAAAATGCTGCGAGCAACACCCGCCCCGCAGAACTACAGCGAGGTTTCATAAGACACATTAAGAGGGATACCCAGGACTGCAGGCATGGTTCAAGCAGCAGAATGCCTGCTTTGCAAGTGCAGAGCCCTGAGTTAAAACCTCAGTGAGAGAGAGAAAGAGACCTAAAAGGCCCATAAGGAATTGAGTTCTCTCCCTAAAGAGGTACCGGATCCTACTCTTCAGACTCCAAAGAAATCAAAAGTGAAGCACAAAGCTAACTGATGGTGACAGAAATCAGAACTGCTTACCTCTGGAGAAGATGGCAGTGGCTGGGACAGGCCTAGAAAGAACTTGAGGTGATGGAAATAGTCTCTGCCTTTACCTGGGTGATGATGCGTGGGTGTGTGTATTCATGCAAACAAATCTGCCAAGCTATACACACTTCCTGTAACCCCGTTCCACCCGTCCCCTGCCATGTCCCATCCACACTACCTTGCTTTAACAGGGGAGAGCTGCCAGCTCCACGCCCCTCTCAGCCACATTCTCCCAAGGCTGAGCTCTCCGACAGGCCCGGCTTGGGCAGCTCCTTCGGGGCAAAGGCCCCACAGCCACTGCATGTTATGGAGCTCATTGATTGTTATTGTGCCTCAATTGAAAGAGAAAAAGGAAGACAGAAAGGAGGACAGAAGATAGGGAAAAGCAGCCTGCACAGGGACCATGAGGGCAGAGGTTGCTTCTTAGAGCCAACTTGTAGCCTTGCCCTTTCCAGAAGTAGTATGTCTGGGTCCAGGGAAGAAAGACCGTGGTGACATGAGCCAGGGTGGTGATATCACAGTACCAGTTGGTAGGGGGCCCTTACAAAAACTGCTGAGCTGCAAGACATGAGGCTGGAGGCTGGAGGCTGAGCTGGAAGTGAAGCCCCCCCATCTTCTATCGTGACAGTCCTTACTATCATGGTGACAGATGCCTCAGCAAGTCAGGAGGAACCAAAAAAGATAAACCAAGATACAGCAGGATGAGTAAGGAGTGGAGGAGGTAGGAAGGCATCTACGGCTGGCAGAGAGGAAGATGAAGCAAGTCAAGCAGTCTGCACAGGACTCAGGTCCTGAGCTTGGGTCGAATGAAAAATGACTCTGGCAACCAGACAAACTGGGAGGCAGGGATGGCCAGGTGGGGAAGGCCCTCATAGGTCATTTAATAAAAAACTGCATATATCTTCATGAGTATGGCATCTGGAAAAAGTTCCAGCTCTCCTTCCACTCTGCTGGGCTTTGTTTGGAAAAACATCTTGCTTTAGGTAAGCAAAAGATCATATCGACTCCACAATATGGCCAACGCTTCTACTTGAATTGAATAGTTTCATCTGAAAACAAAACTCCCACTCCCTGGGAATGCCGACACCACTGTCTAGTGTTCCTGCTCTACTCTCATGTGAATCCTGATAGAAAAGCCTGTTTTCAAAAGGAAAAAAAACCACCGCCTGGCAGAGTTGCATTGCCATTTAATCTGTGGTGTTTTCTCACAATCTAGTAATAAAAAAGGGGGGGGCAGGATCTTTTAAAATAAAAACAGTAACGAGCCAGGCACTGGAGCCTCATGCCTGTAATCCTAGCTATTCAGGAGGCAGATATCAGCAGAATCACAGTTCGAAGTCAACCCGGGCAAATAGTTCAAGAGACTGTATCTCAAAAAAAAACCTTCACAGAAAAAAAAAAAAAAAAAGCGCCAGTGGAGTGGCTCAAAGTGTAGGCCCTGCATTCAAGCTCCAGTAAGTATTGCAAAAAAAAACAGGAAAGGAAAGAAAGAAAAATGTCCCCTAGAATATAATTAAAACATGTCTCTTAAATGTCCATTAAAAAGTGTTGTCAAGTTCAAGCACAAATCCGGAAACAACCTCTTGGCCACACCAGCATCTTCCAGGTAAGACTCCCAACCTGCCCCGCTACCTGCAATGGGGTCAGGAACTCTGCCTCCTCAGGTTGTAGGGAGGACACAGTGACTTTGCGTGATCATGTGATGGGGACTGGGGAGAAAACACAGTGCTAATGCCCACCTCCTCCTCATGACCTCCCCGCAGGTGAGCTCATTACCCTTATCTTTGGGTAAAGACATCAGGAATGTATACAAAATCCAATTAGGAAATAAGAGCCCCAGGGTCTGACTTTCACTGCTTATCTCACTACACTAATTTATAAAATGAATTGGTTAATTCTTCACCGTTGTTTGCATATTGCATTAAAATCCTCTGAGGCTCGTCTTAAGGTACCAAACAACTCCATGAGATGGCCAGGATAAAAAGCAGGAATAAAATTACCCCAGATGAGCCAAAATGTGTCCTATTAAGTATGAGACATTATTAGAGAAAGCCTGAGGTCAGCTCTGAGCCTGTGTGAGCACTGGGCTTGGCTACGTAGAGCCCATCTAAGCTCAACATTGGTTTGTACATGAACACTTACAGGTACAGCAACTGAAAAGACTACACTTGGCCTTGAATCCTGCTCTGCCTCAAAACACGGGCAAGCAGCTTGCCTCCCTTCCCTACACCCTAGTTTTCTGAGCTGTAAAATGCAGGGGAGGCCCAGAAATGTTCTACAAAGCAGTGGTTCTCAAACTGTAGTGGACAAGGGAGCATCCAGGATAAGCAGACAAAATGTAGGCCCTAAGCCCAGCCCAAGGAGATCTGATTCAACAGATGTGTGAGGACCCTAAGGATCTGAAGTTC